CGAGATAGAGTCTGAGAAATAATCTGAGATGGAGTCCGAGTTGGAGTTTGATATGGACTCGAGATGGACCTGAGATGGAGTCTAAGATGGAGTCTGAGATGGAGTCCAATATTGACCTAAGATGGAGTCCGATATGGATCCAACATAGACCCAAGATGGACCCCAGATGGAATCTGAGATGGACTAGAAATGGTGCCCGAGATGGACTCGAGATGGAGTCCGAGATAGAGCCAAGATGGAGTCTATGATGGAGTGTTTTTGGGAAAAGTTTTTGTAAGTAACCAAAGGGAACGACTCGAGAGACGGTCCATGGGGTTTAAATATAGAGGGAAAGGGCCCATGAATAAAAGTGCACCCTCTTTTCCAATTGGTTAAGGGTCTTAGGATACTTGGAATTAAACGTCCTTCGGTTTGAATAGTATTGGGATGGGTGACCTCCCGAGAAGTCCAAACTTAGGAGTTTACATTTGATATCAGAGAAGTCTCGGGTTCGACTCTGTTGGTTGGCTAAGGGAATCACACCACATGTTGATTAACACCTGGCAGGTCTAGTTTGCTCCCAGCTAGGCTTGACCCGAGGGGTAGGGTGTCAAGAGAGCAAGGCTCTCGGGAGACCTGCAGCTCTTAGCTTCCGTTCGGGCATGAACTTGCAAGGAAGCATGGTGGATTGTAAGCAACTAAAGGGAACAACTCCAGAAACAGTCCATGGGGTTTAAATATAGAGGGAAAGGGCTCATGAATAAGAGTGCACCCCCTTTTCCAATCAGTTAAGGGTCTTGGGATAATTGGGGTTAAGTGTCTTTGGGTTTGAATAGTACTGGGTTGGATGACCTCCCGGGAAGTCCAAATTCAAGAACTTACATTTTTGTTGTTGTGTAATGTTTGCAATGTATGGATTTTTAATATATGAGCAGCCAAAAAACATTGGAGTCCGAGATGGACTCAAGATGGAGTCTGAGATAGACCCAAGATGGAGTCTGATGTCGAGTCCAAGATGGACCTGAGATGGAGTCTATAGTCGAGGCCGAGAAAGAGACTAAGACCGAGACCAAGATCGAGATTGAGACCGAGACCAAGACTGAGTTCGAGACCAAGACCGAGCCCAAGACCGAGTCCAAGACTGAGTTTGAGTTCGAGTCCAAGTTCGAGTTTGAGTCCAAGTTTGAGTCTAAGGGTAAAAACCCAAAGCGATCGTCTCCCAGACTTTGGGAGGTTTGGTGAGCTGCAAAAATATAGTAGGGGACTCTAGTGGAGCCAATTTTGCCAGGAAAGGCTAATGTGACCAAGGAAGGCTATACCCATGTGATGGGTGATAATATAACCACTAAAGAGTGCAAAGTTAGTTAAGTTAAAGTTAGAGTGAATGCGGATGGATAAGTGGAGTAACTTGGTGAAGTGTTCAAGAACTAACTTAAGCTCCTTCAGGAGATCGAATGGTCGATGCTCCCAATTCAACTGTGAGTAGCACTACCTACTTGGATATTTGGCGTGGCTGCTCTAGCCACATAGTTAGGGCACCCAAAGGTGGAAGGTGGGAAGAGTACCCACGAAGCTTGCATAGGACCACGGTGTTTCGAAATGTTATCCCAAAGTCCCAAACTATGGAAAGGAAGAGGAGCAATCCTCTTGTGTAGTGACCAAGGATATAGTCATGTGGCAAGGAAGTCTTAGAGGTCAATGGGATGTAGTGGCTGGGCCTTCAAGCCTTGATCTAGTGGCAGTATTGGCAAACACGGCTAGGGACGGAGAAGGATTTAGTGGGGACTGAAAAAGGGATGTTGGGGAAAGTTGTTCCCCATGTCTTCAGGCATTATAAAAGTGCTAAGGAGTGGTTCTGGATAACCATTCATGGAGAGATGGCCTAGTTAGTCTTTAAGAGATGGGACTATGGTAAGAGTGGTTTAGGACTACCAATGAGACAAAGGTAAATGGATATGGCCTTAGCGTAATAGGCTAATATATTGGTAATACCTTTAGGGTGTTGATCATGGGATTGGATACGTGGAGCATTTGGACCAAGTGCAAAGGCTGAGTGGCATAAATGCCATTCATGGGGCTAATAAGTCCCCAAGTCCAGAATAGGACTTATGAAGGTTGTGAGTGAGACTCCTTCAAGTGGTTGAAGGTGTGGTTAATTGACTAAAGTAGATTGGAAGTCGCTTACACGCTTGCAATAATGCAGTGTGATCAAAAAAATGATCAACAAAACGATTGAGATACTGTACCTTGCTTAAGAAGCATTGCACATCATTCACACACTTTGGAGTATGGAATTTTAGAACAGCCACAAGTTTGTCAGGATCAACTTGGAAACCCTCACCAGAAATACAATACCCAAGATAAATGGTGTCTTTGGACCCAAACACGCACTTTGACCACTTTAGCTTTAAACCAACTTCCTGAAGTTCATCCAACATCTTACGAACATCACGAATGTGTTCTTCCCATGTCTCTTCCGAATAGATTAAGATATTATTAACGAAGTCAGCTATAACCTCCAACGTATTGCAAAGAACCTCATCCATCATCCGTTAGAAAGTTGCAAAAACATTATTCAAACCAAACAGCATCACCAAAAACTCGTACAAACCAAACAGTGTACAAAAAGCAATCTTAGGAATATCGCCTTTGGCCATTAGTATTTGCCAGTAACTAAAAGTAAAATCTAACTTAGTAAACTAACAACTTCTCCCTAGACAATCCAAGAGATTAGTAGAGTGAGGAAAAGGATACACATTTAGGATCGTCACTTTGTTTAACAAATGATAGTCGATGCAGAAATCAATACTCCCGTCAGATTTCATCACAAGATGACGTTCACATGCCCAAGGACTTTACAACTTTCGAATAACACACTTTTCCAATATCTTCTTAACATTTGCATATAAAATCTTGATTTCTTTGGGTAATTGATAACAAACAAGAACCTTGATTAGGTAAGCATCCCTAATTGGAATAGGATGACATATTGTAATCTTGGCCCCAAACAACAAATCAAATTCAAAGAGATTGGCATATTCCTTCATAAGCCAGTCAACCACTGCAACACAAAGACTGTCGGAAGGATTGAAAAAGGGAAGAGAAGAACAAAATAGAAACATAGAAAGAAATAATAAATAGATAAAAGTGATAAAAGTAGAGGGATGAAAAAGAATAAAAGTGAAAGGAATAAAAGAAATATAAAGAAATATGAGACAAGGGGGAGAAGCCTTAAAGTCACACTTGGCATGATTCTACTGCAAACAATCCATACCAAAGATGAGGTTAAAAGCTTGATTCAGCACTACCCACAATAACTGCAACTCAAGCTAAAGACCATCTATATGCACAACCAAATTTGCCGTATCCCGTACATATGTATATATGTGGCTGTTGCTATAAAGAATGAAAACTAGCTCTGCTACATGATGCAAATGTAGACAGAAACATGTGGCAACAGGCCAAGCAATAGAAGATAAACTCAAACCTATATCAACCAACACGGAGAGAATAATAAAAGACCTCTTGTTATAAAAACAAAATTAGAAAGTAAACACTAGATGAACTGGTGCCAAGTGAACCCCTTGATAAGAGTGGATAAAATGAATAAAAAGCAAAAAAGCAAAAAAAAAAAACTAAAAAAGCTATAAGGAAAGGGAGATCTAGACAATGCAAAAGCTAGATTTATAACAAAATCCTAAATCCAAACACTCTTCAAGGACAATCAAAATTACCCCTCATCTTCACTAATATGAGTGTATAAAATATGGAAATGCAATACAAAAAATGTGCATATCAATTAACCCAAAAACCATAGCTTATATACAGAAGCAAGTGGTTTAGATTAAAATCAATTCGACGGTTACTAAAATCCCATTACACTAATATTAAGATATGGCAGTGTAGCCATATTAAACAAAAATTTATATTATAATCAATAAATAATTTTTTAGGCTTGATTTTGCTTAATAGTAGTGATATTCCTATTTTATTAATATAATTAATCAATTGAAATTTTTAATTATAAACATGTTTATCAACCATTAGAATAAACTAAAATATACTAAGAAGTGTTTAGGAAAATTTATAAATTATAAACATGTTTATAAATAATAAATACAAAGTTAATATAAATAATTAACAACCGTTAAATGGTAGAATATCCTAGAATATTCAAATATATTCCACTCCAATCTAAGTTTTTTCCTGATGTTAAACTAAAACTTTGAGCCAATATGTTTTAATTTAATGTGCTTAGCAATCACCAAGGAAGGGAGGGCTAACAAGCTTCTTGTCATTCAATCCTCTTCTCTCGCAGGCAATATACACCCTTTGCCTTGGCAAGAGCAGCGAGACACTATCCTCTTGCCGGAGACGTACAATTTCCACATTGATTTAGCAGGAGAGCAGCAATACGGCATGGTGCTTCGTGATACCAGTCGCAATCCTGCACAGGGCCAAGTGGTCGGGTGCGTGTGAGTTGGTCTTTCTTGCCTTTGCAATTCTTTTTTGAGCAATGGCTTGTTGCGGGAACTTCTCCAACACTTATGGGTGCATTCCTGAGCAGATTCCTGAGCCATTTCAGGTGGATTCGATCCGGGAGAGCATGAGCAGGCAGGTGCTGGGGTGGCCAATCGTGAGCAGGGGATGGAGCTGGTGGACAGATCGTGGTGAGGGATGGCGAGGGAGGAGCTAAGGAGGAAACTTGGGCACTTGGGAACTAGGCAGGCTGAAGGAGCCATGTCGACCAAAGGTTAAGAATGCTTTGGTAAGTTTTGAATGGAAAGAAGACGAAAGTTTAGCTGCACATTTGACTGGTTAAATTACATTTTTAATTATAATATAACCTTTTGTTTAGTATGTTGAGAGCTCCTCAATTCCAACCCGGATTGGCCTGGACGTTATCTGGCTGAAGGATGCCAAGATTCCCGGGCTGCGGGAAATCCTTCATAGCATGAAGAGCAACGTGTAGAGAGTCTTCTCTATTATGTGCGAATCTTGACGCGGGATTCCATCTAACCCTCCGTAGCGTCTATTTGTTTCCATCCACACGAAGGAGCGCTTTGGTCGCCACATCGCCTTTGATGAAAGAATTTATAAGCTTGGGTTCATCGACCAGTAGCAAGGCTTCTGATCCATGTCGTCGATTTCAAAGTCGTTTGAAGCCATGACCACCTCGCAAAACCTGGTAAATCACGCTCTCGGAATTCCAAAACCATCTGTCTTTCAGCATCTTATGATCGGCACTTGAGGAGCAAAACCCGCATGCGCAGCGGCCATGTCTTGCAGTTTGTGAAGATCTCTACAAGTTATTTCCGCCTCCATTCCGCTCGAGCAGCTTTACAGGGCGAGCAAGCTAAGAAGTCACTGTTAAGAGCACTGATCTTTCTGCAAGAACACTTCAAGTAGCCTTTCCTTCCTCTTTTCGCTTGTCACCTGCTGCAGTAAAGCGCCCATCAACGAATCCAGCAGCTCCGGAATGGCGAGCACCAACTTTTATTTCGTGCTGTAGAGCAAAGTCAGATTGCCTGGTCAATTCCGGGCTACTTTCTTGTACTTTCGTGCCTCTCACGAGGAGCATTCCTTTCTGTGGTGTTCTAATTGGGTACTTCTTCAAGCATAATTCCCAAATCACTACTTCGGTACTCCCCAGCGGCCTATATCTTACCTGGCTTCCAATCCAAGGTCAAAGCGCTGCGAATGGCGGGTGCTAGCAAGAAGCCTCATGTTCTAGCGTTCCCATTCCCAATCCCGGGCCACACGAATTCGCTCATGCACTTCTGCCGTCGCCTCGCGGCCTGCGATGTCACCATCACCTACGCCTCCAATCCGAGCAACATGAAGCTCATGCACCAGACGCGCGATCTGATTGCAGACCCCCACGCCAAGAGCAACGTCCGCATCGTCGAGGTCTCGGACGATCCAGGTAACAGCAGCAACGATCTCGCCAAGGGGGATCCCAGCGCGCTCGTGGAGAAGATCCGCCTGGCAGTGCGGGCCATGGCAGCCTCTGTGCGAGAGCTTATCCGGAAGTTCCAGGAGGAAGGGAATCCCGTTTGTTGCATGATCACAGACACCTTCAACGGATTCACCCAGGATCTGGCGGACGAATTTGGCATCCCCAGGGCGGTGTTCTGGACCTCCAATGCGATCAGCGACATCTATCACCTCTTCCTGCCGGAGCTCATGTCCAAAGGATTCGTGCCAGTCACGAGTAAGTTCTCCCTCCCCTGTTTTTAGGGTTCTAAGGAAACTCTTCTTCTTCCAGCCAGGAAAACGGACGAGCTCATCGCATTCCTCCCCGGATGCCCGCCGATGCCCGCCACGGATCTGCCGCTCGCCTTCTACTACGACCACCCAATCCTGGGCGTGATCTGCGACGGCGCGTCGCGGTTCGCGGAGGCGAGATTCGCGCTGTGCAACAGCTACGAGGAGCTGGAGCCCCACGCAGTGGCGACGCTGCGCAGCGAGGTCAAATCCAGCTACTTCCCCATCGGCCCGTGCCTGTCCCCCGCATTCTTCGCGGGGGAATCCACCGCGGTGGAGCGATCCAGCGAGCACCTGTCTCCCGAGGATCTGGCGTGCCTGGAGTGGCTTGACACACAGAAGGAATCCTCCGTGATCTACGTCTCCTTCGGCAGCGTGGCCACCATGTCCGTGGAGCAATTCCAGGAGCTCGCCAGGGGCCTGGAGCGCAGCAACCAGCCCTTCGTGCTGGTGCTGCGCAAGACCCTGGTCGCGGATCCCTCGGTGCACGATTTCTTCGAGGGATTGAAGCAGCGGATCGGCGAGCGCGGGATCGTGATCTCGTGGGCGCCGCAAATGCACGTCTTGCTCCACCCGGCGGTGGGAGGATTCCTGACGCACTGCGGATGGAACTCGACGGTGGAGGGGATCTGCGCGGGCGTGCCGATGCTCGCCTGGCCTTGCATGGCGGAGCAAAACATCAACTGCAAGGAGCTTGTGGAGCACTGGAAGCTGGCGATCCCGGTCCAGGATGATCGGGATAAAAGCTCCGTGATCTCGGTCTCCAGCGAGAGGCTAGCGGATCTAGTGGCGAGGCTGATGAGAGGCGACGAGGGTCACGAGATGCGAGCCCGGGCTCGGGAATTCCGCAAGGTTACTGCGGCTGCCATAGCCGAGGGAGGATCCTCGGACAGGAACCTCAAGGCCTTCGCCCAAGCTCTGAGAGATCTGTGATCTCTTGGAGGCGACGATTAGAATCAATCAATGGGTCAGTGAGATTGGAAGTTTTAATAAGCCAATTGTGCTGCCTCTATGCGGTCTTTCACTCCCTTTTTTCCATGTGCCTATAGCTTAAGTACTTGTACATGTTTTTGGAACAGATTCTTGGGGTTGGGTTTCCAAAAACCATGTTGCCAATGCACAAAACTGTGCCAAGAGTGTCAAACTGTGATCGCACGGTGGTGGTATTTGAGCTGGCAATAGCAAATAGAAGAAGAAAGAGATACATTCCCAAGAGCTTGTATAAAGATAGGTCCTCCCCTTGTCCAGCGCCCCAATATAGCATTGTTGGGCTCCAATCTTTGAGGCTCCAAAGATTTATAGTTTGACCGAGCGGTATAGCTTAACAATCACTGCCACCAGGGGTGAGGCGCTCCTAGCTCTAAGAGTTACTTGATCAACAATTGGCAAGGGATCATATCAAATGTTCCACAAATCCAAGTAGCAATGTCTTGTTTCATCCCAACCTTGTGCGTTCCATAAGGATGCACAAAGTGAGAAGGTGGTCCAGGCAAGATCGCTGTTTTCGAAACCCATTGGGCTCAAGTGTGTACGTTGTGTTGAGATATACGCTCTCTATGACATGAGCCCAGGCGGCAGTACCTCACTGTATGTCTTCGACTGTCATAGATCCTTGTCCATCATGTTTTCTTCTTCCCAATAGATTTCCTTGAAAGGCCGATTTTGCAGGGGCTCATGGAGAAAAAGTTTTCGAGATTATTCCAGAAGCCTGTGATGAAGAGGCTTTTGTGTTTAAAAGCGTTTAATAGTGATCTTTATTTCTCGAGTTTATTACTGTCCTTGGCATGTGGGGAATCCCCTTGTGAGGCATATAAGGCTACAACATGTTCCCCGACACCCTTGCTATGGGGTTTCTTGTGGTTCTTGTGGCCAGCTGGGAAATTCAATGGCCCCAAAGGTTTTGTGAGTATCTGAGAGTGAGTTTAACAGCAACAAGATGTCCTTTCCCGCTTGGCTCTCTTGCCCAAGGCTTCTGCAGGTTGTGCCTGCGCCCCTGCATGCGGGCAAGATCAATGCTCAAGGCCTGACTGGATGACACTTCTGCAATTTCCAAGTCGAGCGGTTGGATCAGTCTCAATGAGTTCGATAGTTCGCCCCTGCCTGGGTTGCACAAGGTCAAAGCATACAAGATTTCTTGATCCTTGTTGGAGAATAATTTTATTTATTTTTCCAAACGCACCAGCTACTTTTTTTCACAAACAGCTCTTAGGAACTTAGTACCTTAAGAACTGCCTCAACTCCTCTGGATGCCCACAAGACCATAACTTCGTGGTTGCATACTTCTCAAGCCTCATTGCTCTTGTGGGGACAACACCTGCTTGCAACCTGGGATCTTTGGCTATGGTGGAGAGTATTCTACTGGATCTGGCATCGCACTTCTCACTAACACCAGTGCTAGCGTTGTCAATGGTGTCGTTTTACAAGCTTGTCCTTCTCTTTCACTGATCTCACGGTTCCTCAGACAACCTCAAGCAGCTCCTCGAGGTCTACTACATCCCAGCATCGATCCCAAGACTGCCTTCCGGGAAAACATTCGAGTGACCATACCTTTCTTGTTTGACTCGTAGTGATTCAAACTTGGCCTGCTAATGGACAAACGTGAAAGAAAACACGAGGAAAAGACACAGGCCGCCGTGTCCAATTGATTCAGAAACATTTGTGAAAATTACCACGTTATGAATAGTGTTTTAGCCTCTGCAAATGCCCGAAAAGTTACCAGCCGTGTCCAAAACGTTCGGAACAAATCAAACGCGGCTTGCGACGCGGACAGCGGCTGACTGTTTCCTTGCGTTGACCATGACGCTATTGGCCAATACAACCCTTACAAAGTCTCCTCTTCCTCTTCTCAAAAGATCGTTCACTTCTGATAAAGAGCAACACCACCATGGCCTACACTTACACCCCGCAAGGCCATCCAACGCAGCAGTATCAAGGACAGCAGCAAGGATTCACCAGCGAAGGCCATCCTATTGCCCCTCCTGCTGCTTATCCCCAGCCTCCGCCTGGTAGTTACTATGGACCCGGAGTGGCAACCTTGGCACCCCCGAATTCTGGCCTCTGGACAACGGGCCTCTGTGGATGCACCGAGGACTGCCCCTCTTGTAAGGCTGTTTTTATTTTTTTTTCGAGAAAAAGAGTTCTTTTCGTGCAGCTTGGATGATTGATTGAGTGATCTCTTTAAATTTGCTTTCTGTTCTTTGATCCTAGATCTGGTTTGTAGCAGACTTCCAGATAGATGAGATATCCGGTCGACATTTCTTAAAATTTATTTGATCAATCCTCTCCATCTGGTGTAACCACAGGCTGGTGTGCGTGGTGCTGCCCCTGCGTTCTTGTTGGGCGCATGGCCAACATTCTGGATCAAGGCATGACCTGTGAGTATTCAACTTTGAGTTTTTTTGATGTTCCGCTCACGATTCTTTCCTTTTCTGCTTGGATTTGTGATCCAATGTTGTATGTGATAGCTGTCTTCACCGGAGCCGCCATCTTTTGCATCGTGCAGTGGTTCACCGGCTGTGGCTGCCTCTACAGCTGCCTGTACCGTGCAAAGCTGCGCCACAAGTACGGACTCCCCGAGGAGCCCTGCAACGACATCTGCACCGAGTGCTGGTGCAACTGCTGCTCCATTGCCCAGGCTTACAGGGAGCTCAGGAACCGCAACATCAACCCGGCTCTGGGTATGATTTCTGGGGCCTTGGTGATCTTTGTTTCCTGATTTCTGATTTTTCAGGGTACGAGTTTGCGAGGGCGGTGTACGAGCAACCACCTCAAGTGCAGGAGATGCGCAAAATGTGAGCTACGGAAATTAGTTTTTAAAATCTTCAACTTGAAAATGCTTCTTCGGGGCTTTCCAAGAATGCCATGTTGCATTCGTGATCGGAAGGATTTCTTCCTTGTGACATTGGAAAATAATAGAAGCCCAAGTTTGTATAAATTTCTAAACATCTCATCTAGAATTATTTAATGTCCTAAAAAGAACATATACTGGAATATATTCTGGAAGAGCTATCCTCTTATGGCGGACGAGCAGCGCCTTCACGTAGCGGTGCTCCCAACCGCCGGCTCCGGCCACATCAATCCCATGCTCGAGCTCTGCCGCCGCCTCGTCCCGCTAGGATTCCAGGTAACCTTCGTCTATCCCAGCAATCTATGCCCCAAGCTGGAGTCGAGCCTTCGGCACGATGATCTTCACTTCCAAGTGGTGCCAAGCCCAGCCTCGGACAAGCTTTTGCTCATGGATCCCGCGTTGCAAGAGGACGTGACACCGGTTCTAGAGGCCCTCCGTCCACCAGTAAAGTGCCTTATCGCTGATATGTTCTTAGGCTGGTCACAGGACGTGGCCGAGAGCCTGGGGATTCCACGAGTTGCCTTCATTCCCAGTGACTCAGTCAGCGAAGCGATGTGCTACCATATTCCAGAGCTTGTCTCCATGGGTTTCATTCCTGGCCATGTTCCTGCCAATGGTGAGAAGAAGAAGAAACTTTACAATTGCTTCATACCGATCGACGAATATGTGTTGTCTCAGCCGATCCAAATCCGGAAGCTTTGATCGACTTCATCCCCGGTCTCGAGCCTTTTACACGAGAGTTGCTCCCTCTTGCCTTCCAGCACTGGGGACCCATTGTGACCACTCTGGGAGTTGCAGCCAGACGAACAAAGGATGCGGTTTGCATTGTCGTCAACACGATTGAGGAGTTGGATCAGGAAGTCGTGAATGGACGGAGGTTGCTGTTCTCCAGTTATTTACCAGTCGGACCTCTGGTACCTGCGGAGCTTCTGCAAGAACAGCACCCGATCACTCTCAGTTCTCCAAATGACACTAGCATGATCTGGCTGGACAAACAAGCTTACGGCTCGGTTCTCTATATCGCTTTTGGCAGTGTTGTTACTCTGCCAGCCGACCAAGTGGAGAAGATTGCAAGAGCTGTAAAAGCCACCCGTCAGCCAGTCTTGTGGGCGATCAGGAGGAACTTTGCAAAAGACGTACCTGAGAACTTTTATGAAAGCTTGCAAGAGATAGTTGGGGAGCAAGCCTGCCTGGTGGTGGAATGGGCTCCGCAAGTAAACGTCTTGCGCCACTCCGCGGTTGGAGCCTTCTTAATGCACGGTGGATGGAACTCAGCTCTAGAAGCCCTGTGCTGTGGAGTACCAATGCTTTGCTGGCCCTGCGATAACGATCAGAACTTGAATGCTCTCACGATAGTGAAGAAGTGGAGAACTGGGATAATGGTGGCTCATGGACCCAAAGACGATGTGAGAAGCGAAGACTTGGGAAACGTTATAGATGCTGTGATGAACGGCGAGGAAGGGAGGAGGATGAGGAGCAGAGCTCAAGAACTTAAAAAGATTGTGAGAGCAGGTACTTGCCTGGAGAGAAATCTTCGACAGTTCAAGGATGTGATCATAGCCGCGTCTCAATAGGGGCCTGCAATACCATCTGGATTCATACTTGATCAAAGAGACAAAGTTCACGAGAAGAACTAGAATGATGGACAACTTGAAAACAATTGTGCGAGAGAAGGTACTTGCCTCGATAATCTTTACCTCGTAGCTATGGTCTATTGTCCCCGGAGGTCGAATCGTTCACGAGCTTTGGCCGCTTCGTTAACTCGTCGACTTCCACCTTGAGACCATCCAGAACGTTGACAGCCTTCTTGATCTCGAGGTTTGCGAGCTCCTGTACGTTTCGTTCGTTCCCTTCTGTAAGATTCCTGATGGCCCATAGACCCCATTCCCTGAGATAAGGATTGTCTTCATCAACCACGCACTGCTGGAGAACTAAGAGCAAGCCTCCGTCCTCTCGAACTCGGTCTTGGACACGGGGCCGATGAAACGACATGTTTGCGATCACGGACACTATGTCACGTCGGTAGCCTTTGTAGACGTTGTGCACTGGAAGCCGTGTTGGCATTGTAGCAGCCTGCTCTTCTTCGCACGGTGGAGACGTTGATGCACTGCCGGCAGCTTTCCTCACCATCTCTGGAGGTCCAAGCGCCCGTAACATCTCCAGCAGCAATCCAACCAAAGGACCAACTCTGGCTTCGTCGAGCTGGACGTCGTCATGTGTAGTGGCGAGTCTCGTGAGCAACAGACTGAATCCGAGGACGTCGGCGATTGGAAACCCTGTAGGCCAAGGCAACGCTTTGTCCATAAACGTGGCAGCCACGAGCATTGCCGACTGCTCAATGGTGTCCGCCAGAAACTCCATCGACTTCCATGGCATGGCAGCGACAGCCCCCTGGTTCTCATCCAAGACGGAGTATAACACACCGAGAAGGATGGCCTGCTCGGACGAGAAAGCCGACGTAGAAGAAGGTCCGAGGCTTGCAAACACCAGTGGGAGGTGTTCGTCTTTGAGGCACACCGCTTCCACGAGCAAGCTTAGCCACTCTACACAAGAACAATGCACGATACAAGTGATCGATCGAGTAGAGAAGAATTCCACGTACCAGAGCTTGGAGAATCCCTGAGAAGGATGGCCAAGAGACGACTCCCTTTCCCTCGAGCAAGCTGGAGGCGGCGCTCGGGGCTCGCTCTAGAGCATGTGTAGACCACCATGCTCAGCGGCTCGAGCACCTCTTTCGTGGAGACGCACGCCAAGTCGAGCAAAATCTCTGGAAAGAATGCCTTCCAGATGGAATCCTGTGCCTGCTCTCCACGCCCGGCCACATTCCCGAGCATCTGGAACAGCGCCTTTGCGCAATCCAGCCAGAACTTCCCATCCTCTTCCTCCAGATCCTCCTCGCGAAGAGAACATAAGCGCTTCTGGAATCTGGATGCCAGTGCTACTGCCAGATCCATCCCTTGCTCGGCGAGAAATGAATCCTGGTTCATGACTTCGCCGGCACAGAGATTGCGAAGAGCGCGCAGGAGCGGCAGGAGGAGATTGTCGTCGATACGTACCCGAGAACGCGAAACCAAGGCGGGGACGGCGCCGAGCTTCGCCAGGCAGGATCTGCCGTGGTCGGATCGCGCGCCATCGACCACGGCACGCAGAGCCGCCGATACCTCGCCATCCTTCTCGCGCAACGCTGCTACCGCCTCCTCCATTAGAACCCTAAAAAAACAAAGAGAGAGGAAGGGAATTTCTTGGTGGCATTTGTCAGGAATGGGGATCTTGCTAAGTTTAAATTTCCTTTGATGATCAGCAGATAAAACCACAGTGACATGAAACGCAATAATCACTGCATACGCGAGCAGCATGGTCCATAAGTATAGCTGAAACATTGTGAAAGATAAAGCACAAAAGAGACTTGGTGTTTTGGAGCACAACTTGTGATGCAAATGCCGAGAAAGGAAATTGCGACATTTTTGTTGTTGAAAGTGATGGGATCGTTTCTGGGAGGACGGATTGACGAAAACATGGAGTTATCTATGTGTCAAAGATTCCTTCATCTCAATCTGGTCAGCCTTCTAAAACTATTCTAGAAACTATTCTGCTATGTTGGTGGGCCTGGGAATGGCACGACGCTTTATCTACCATACTGCATACATTCCCGCCAGTGGTGAAGGAGAAAAGTTCTGGGAAACGTTTTCATCGCTATCATACCTTTGTGTTCTTCCGCAGTTCCAGCACTCGGCTTCGAGGACGTCAAGGATTTCGAGTCACGCACAGTGAACCAAAGGATGCTAAGTTTTGGTCCCGGAAGAGAACTCAACGTTGACAAAAAGGTCATTGATGCTAGAGAAGAAAGGAGGAACAGGCGTTCTTATAAACTATGATAAAAGTACCTACTTGGAATCCCTTCTAGCCTTTTCTCCCATAGCAAACTCTTGTGATCTCTTTGGGAAACTACGAGGTGGTGTATGTCCTGCAAAACGGCTCACAAAAGAAGAGAATTCCATGAGAGTTTCTAGAATGGTATTTGCAGCGTCAAAGGAAGACGAGCATTTCTCTGGATTTGTGTTGGTTTTGGTTTGCTTTTGCTATGGAATGGCCCAACCTTGGATTCCCTCGACATCACCAATGACCAGTCCGGAGATGATCATCAATGCTAGTAGAGCTCCAAGTGTAGGTAATGCCTCAAGCTCTTCCATTGGCATCCTCGTTGGTGATGGTAGTGCCAGCGGCTTTCGTGGATGCTCTTGCTCCAGCGTCCAGTTTCCAGCTAAATGAATGGCTTTAGATTTTGAATTTTAACTTTCTTTCATGGATCATCGCCGGTATTCTTGGCAGTCGATCGATCGAACAGGCTTTTGGCGCCATCCTCGGCAAATGCCGCGATCATGATGTTGCTAGAGAAGACGTTGCGCAGCCGGACTCTATCCAAAACCCTGCGCGCGTCTTCGATGTAAATTCCCCTGGAATGTATCCCTCTTGTGTCCCTCTCGGCCCCGTGTCCAAGACCGAGTTCAAGAGAACGGAGGCTTGCTCTTAGTTCTCCAGCAGTGCGTGGTTGATGAAGACAATCCTTATCTCAGGGAGTGGGCCATCAGGAATCTTACAGAAGGGAACGAACGAAACGTACAGGAGCTCGCAAACCTCGAGATCAAAAAGGCTGTCGACGTTCTAGATGATCTCAAGGTGGAAGTCGACGAGTTAACGAAGCGGCCAAAGCTCGTGAACGATTCGAACTCCGGGGACAATAGCCCAGGGTCTCGAGGTAAAGATTATCGAGGCAAATACCTTCTCTCGCACAATTGTTTTCAAGTTCTCCATCATTTTAGTTCTTCTCGTGAACTTTGTCTCTTTGATCAAGTATGAATCCAGATGGTATTGCAGGCCCCTATTGAGACGCGGCTATGATCACATCCTTGAGCTGTCGAAGATTTCTCTCCAGGCAAGTACCTGCCCTCACAATCTTTTTAAGTTCTTGAGCTCTGCTCCTCATCCTCCTCCCTTCCTCGCCGTTCATCACAGCATCTATAACGTTTCCCAAGTCTTCGCTTCTCACATCGTCTTTGGGTCCATGAGCCACCATTATCCCAATTCTCCACTTCTTCACTATCGTGAGAGCATTCAAGTTCTGATCGTTACCGCAGGGCCAGCAAAGCATTGGTACTCCACAGCACAGGGCTTCTAGAGCTGAGTTCCATCCACCGTGCATTAAGAAGGCTCCAACCGCGGAGTGGCGCAAGACGTTTACTTGCGGAGCCCATTCCACCACCAGGCAGGCTTGCGCCCCAACTATCTCTTGCAAGCTTTCATAAAAGTTCTCAGGTACGTCTTTTGCAAAGTTCCTCCTGATCGCCCACAAGACTGGCTGACGAGTGGCTTTTACAGCTCTTGCAATCTTCTCCACTTGGTCGGCTGGCAGAGTAACAACACTGCCAAAAGCGATATAGAGAACCGAGCCGTAAGCTTGTTTGTCCAGCCAGATCATGCTAGTGTCATTTGGAGAACTGAGAGTGATCGGGTGCTGTTCTTGCAGGAGCTCCGCAGGTACCAGAGGTCCGACTGGTAAATAACTGGAGAACAGCAACCTCCGTCCATTCACGACATCCTGATCCAACTCCTCAATCGTGTTGACGACAATACAAACCGCATCCTTTGTTCGTCTGGCTGCAACTCCCACAGTGGTCACAATGGGTCCCCCGTGCTGGAAGGCAAGAGGGAGCAACTCTCTTGTAAAAGGCTCAAGACCGGGGATGAAGTCGATCAAAGCGTCCGGATTTGGATCGGCTGAGACAACAACACATATTTGTCGATCGGTATGAAGCAATGTAAAGTTTCTTCTTCTTCTCACCATTGGCAGGAACATGGCCAGGAATGAAACCCCTGGAGACAAGCTCTGGAATATGGTAGCACATCGCTTCGATGACTGAGTCACTGGGAATGAAGGCAACTCGTGGAATCCCCAGGCTCTCGGCCACATCCTGTGACCAGCCTAAGAACATATCAGCGATAAGGCACTTTACTGGTGGACGGAGGGCCTCTAGAACCGGTCTCACGTCCTCTTGCAACGCGGGATCCATGAGCAAATGCTTGTCCGAGGCTGGGCTTGGCACCACTTGGAAGTGAAGATCATCGTGCTGAAGGCTCGACTCCAGCTTGGGGCATAGATTGCTGGGATAGACGAAGCTTACCTGGAATCCTAGTGGGACGAGGCGGCGGCAGAGCTCGAGCATGGGATTGATGTGGCCGGAGCCGGTGGTTGGGAGCACCGCTACGTGAAGGCGCTGCTCGTCCGCCATAAGAGGATAGCTCTTCCAGAATATATTCCAGTATATGTTCTTTTTAGGACATTAAATAATTCTAGATGAGATGTTTAGAAATTTATACAAACTTGGGCTTCTATTATTTTCCAATGTCACGAGGAAGAAATCCTTCCGATCACGAATGCAACATGGCATTGTTGGAAAGCCCCGAAGAAGCATTTTCAAGTTGAAGATTTTAAAAACTAATTTCCGTAGCTCACATTTTGCGCATCTCCTGCACTTGAGGTGGCTGCTCGTACACCGCCCTCGCAAACTCGTACCCTGAAAAATCACCATTTTCAGAAATCAGGAAACAAAGATCACCAAGGCCCCAGAAATCATACCCAGAGCCGGGTTGATGTTGCGGTTCCTGAGCTCCCTGTAAGCCTGGGCAATGGAGCAGCAGTTGCACCAGCACTCGGTGCAGATGTCGTTGCAGGGCTCCTCGGGGAGTCCGTACTTGTGGCGCAGCTTTGCACGGTACAGGCAGCTGTAGAGGCAGCCACAGCCGGTGAACCACTGCACGATGCAAAAGATGGCGGCTCCGGTGAAGACAGCTACAACATTGGATCACAAATCCAAGCAGAAAAGGAAAAAATCGTGAGCGGAACATCAAAAAAACTCAAAGTTGAATACTCACAGGTCATGCCTTGATCCAGAATGTTGGCCATGCGCCCAACAAGAACGCAGGGGCAGCACCACGCACACCAGCCTGTGGTTACACCAGATGGAGAGGATTGATCAAATAAATCTTAAGAAACGTCGGACGGATATCTTATCTATCTGGAAGTTTGCTACAAACCAGATCTAGGATCAAAGAACAGAAAGCAATTTTAAAGAGATCACTCAGTCAATCATCCAAGCTGCATCCAAGCTGCACAAAAAGAGCTCTTTTTCTCGAAAGAAAAAACCTTACAAGAGGGGCAGTCCTCGGTGCATCCACAGAGGCCCGTTGTCCAGAGGCCAGAATTCGGGGGTGCCAAGGTTGCCACTCCGGGTCCATAGTAACTACCAGGCGGAGGCTGGGGATAAGCAGCAGGAGGGGCAACGGGATGGCCTTCGCTGGTGAATCCTTGCTGCTGCCCTTGATGCTGTTGCGTTGGATGGCCTTGTGGGGTGTAAGTGTAGGCCATGGTGGTGTTGCTCTTGATCAGGAGCGACCGATCTTAACATTAGACGAGGGTTTTTTTGCAAGGGCGACATTTTCAAAGCAAGGACGCCGCACGCCGCACGTCGCACGTCGCACGTCGCGTTTGCTCTTAGGAACTTGCCTCTAGCCCGCGAGACCATAACTTCGTGGTTAAGAGCGAAGCAAAAAACCATACCCATTTTAACATAGTCGTGGCTCCTTTGCCGAACGCCCTCTGGCTTCTCCGCCGGAGAGGCCCGCGCGACCTCGGCCACGATTGCCGTGTGGACGATCTTCTGCAGCAGCCGGTGCTGGGGTGGCGGCATTCTCTGGAGTCCCTCCAGCCGCGACTGAAGCTGCCGCTCCTGCTCATCCATGGCGGCCAGGGGCGCCTTCAGGACCCTCTGCTTGCTGCGCAGCAGCAAGGTGAGGCGCCGATGGTGCTGCTGCTCCTCCGGGGACACCGACGCCCACGCCGGGATCGCCATTCTCTCCAAAACAAAGCCCGCCAAATGATATCCCAGAGCTCCCGCAGTGGTAAGAACAAAAGTTTGAAAAGAAAGGAGGCATACCTCTGTGCGTTCTTTCCTCTCTTTCATGCAACCCTGACCATCAAACTTTGATCGACTTCATTCCCGGCCTTGAGCCTTTCCCGAGGAGACTACTTCCTCTTGTCTTCTTTAGTTTTTTGTGACATTTGTTCTGAATACGTGACAAAGTTTTTGTTTACCCTTAAAGCGTTTTTTGCTACAAGCAGCCAAGATGTGAAAAGTTTACAAATGGTATCAATTGATGGTGGCCATGTGGTTTCTTGTGGTTCTTGCGGCCAGCTGGGGAAATCCAGTGGCCCTGTGAGTATCTAAGAGTGAGTTTGACAGCCGTGCCTTAGCAGTCTTTCGCAGGTTCCAGGTCGAGATGTCGGGCTGGTGACACGTGGACCAGTCGCAATTAGTTCCATCGTTCACAAGATCAGATCACAAAACAGCTATTTTGGACACTGTCTTTTCAAAGTTCCATGGATAGATTCTGACGATCATCTCTTGCTGAGCTTCACAGGCAAACCATGGGCCGGCAGAGGCGCTGTTTCCACTATAATACCTTCATTTGTGATCACAGGCTTCCAGTCGTGGCTTAGCAGCAGGTAATGCAAGAAAACGAGCATCTCCATCTTTGCAAATTCATTTCCAGGGCACGTCCGAGGCCCTCCTCCAAACGGTGTGAAGACGTAAGGAGCTGGGCCATTGCCTTGAAACCTGAGAGGATCAAACTTTTGAGGTTCCGGAAAGAACTCGTCTTTCATCCGGGAAGTGTTAACAGACCACATGATCGATGCTGGGATGTAGAAGACCTCGAGGGTTGGCTCAGGATCAGTGAAAGAGAAGGACAAGCTTGTAAACGACACCATTAACAACACTAGATGGTGTGCATAGCCAAAGATCCCAGCTTGTAAGGAGGTATTGTCCCCGGGAAGAGCAATGAGGCCTCTTCTAGATCCAAACTCCATCTGGCGACACTTCTTCGTCAGTGCAAACCGAGATAGCGTCAGCTCAAACACTACATCGCAAAGAGACTGTTTCTAAAGGTAACGATTCTTCTTTCTTTCTTATCATGTTCTGACATTGGCAAAATTTCCTTGAAGTAATTCCTCGGATGTGCAGCGGTGGAGCCGCCAATTCTTCACAAAGATTGGATCATTCATCCGATACAGGTAGCCAATCCACAATTGTGTATTGAACACAAAGCTTTGTGTTGCGTAGATAATCGACACTCGGGATCCGGTACTGCTGCTCTTAGGGCCGTCTACTCAGTTCTTTCCAAAGGAACATGTGTTTCCGCAAGCTCTGTGAAAGCAATCAATCAAACTCTTCGATTTGCAGGAATGCCATCCTTTCTACGCAACATATAGTGACAGCCGGACTTAACGCAGTTGTGGAGGTGAGCTTTGGGATTCTTTCTCTGAAACCAAATCAAATCCAGGTTCGTCAATCCCAAGGAGCTCGAAGAACTCTCCACTCTCAACAGTCTTCGGTTTCAACATTTTAGGTGGAGTTGCAGTACGTTGATTGTCGTAAATTTCACTCTTTTCCTCAGTAACAAACTCTGTCTGTCTGTCTCTCTCCATTCCTTGCTTTTTTGCCTCGCTCGGTCGCAATGCTGACAAGCTGGCCGACTCCTCTCTGGTCGAGAACCTGAGATCAGTCTCATGAAACTAGAATGGATATGTAAAATGCCTTGCATAGACAGACACGTTGTCCCGGCGATATGTAAACGTCATTTGCGTCAAGTAGTTGGTCCCGAAAGAGAAGAACTCCGCGATCTATCAAAGAATCCTCAAGAAAGATTACGTGTGGAATACAGACTCCTAAGAACTCTTTTTATAGGGATGTCAATTTGCGCGAAGAACTTTGACTTGGTCAGCGGTTTATAAGGTGATGAGCTTTTCCAGAAAAGAAGAACGATGAAAAGACTGACACAAGGTACTAGTATTGTATGGAAACCTGTGCCTGCTCTCCACGCAATCCAGCCACTACTGCATAAGCGCTTCTGAGTGCTACTGCTCGGCAAGGAACGAATCCTGGTTCATCGCAGAAATTGCGAACAGCGCGCAGGAACTCGATACGTACCCGAGAACGCGAAAACAAGGCGACGGCGCCGAGCCTTGCCAGGGAGGACCTTCCGTGGCCGGATCGAGCGCCATCACCCAAGGCACGCAGGGCCGCCATCCTCTTGGCGCAACGCGCCTTCTATGGAATCGCACAAGTCGTGTTAAACACCAGTCGCTCGATCTCTTCTGATATATTGCATCAGTGGTAAGGAGAAGGAAAGATCTTGGAAACGTTTTCATTGCTTCATACCTTTGTGTTCTTCGCTTTCATATCGGCGTTGAGCCTTTTTGATTTGGAGTAGCACCGAGGAGCTAAGGCCTCCTTTGGTCCTGGAAGAGAAGACTCGATGAGAAGCAAAAGCTCAGACAAACTGTGACACAAAGGTACCTGCTTGGAGTTCCTTTCTCAGTCGTCAAACTATTGGAATTATATATCCTGCAAAACAGCTTGCCAAAGAACAACCGTTTTCACAGAATGGAGCTAGAATTGAACGGTTGATGAACGGTTGATTTGCAGCAGATCTCTGAGCTTCACGAGAATTTCTAGTTGACGAACCTAGAATGGTACCTACAGTTCGCAGTGTCAAAGTAGCAACATGAGCACTGCTCGGGATCTGGACGACGGTTCCTGCGTTGCTTTGGGGGCTTGTTTCTTCGATTTTGCTCTGTAGAAGTTTCTCTAGAAATGTGAAGTAAAACTGGAGAGAGTACCTGCAAAGCCGAGGGCTTTGACATGGAATGGCCCAACCTTGAACTCCCTCCACATCCAGCACGTCATCACCAAAGCAATGGCCATCATACCCATCCCACCAAAGACTACTCCAGAGATGACCATCAAAGCCAGTAGAGCGCCAAGAACATGCAGCGGCTCAAGCTCTTCCCTTGGCATCTCCCTCGATGGCTGCTTCGATCGAGCCTCCAGCTTTGGCAATCTAAAAGCCCTAGGTAGTATAAATGAACCTCTTAGATTTGAATTTGTACCTTTGGTGGCGGCGTTCCTTTCTCCGCTTGTTGTCAAACAAATGCCGCTTCCACCCTGGGAATCAAGGCTCTGGAAAGAACCGAGATTAAAAAGTAGAATTTACAGCTTCGTTCGTGTTCCGGAGATTATGATCGAAATTTCGCAAAAAATGTCCAAGAATCCTCGAGAATCTGAAGAAAGAAAAAAAATTTCACGAGAATGGACAGGAAATCATCAAAGAAGAAACCCTTCGTCGCCATCATCATCATCACATTCCACCATCGCTCACACTCTCTCGTCTCTATTGTGCTCTATAGTTGCTGCTCTCTCTCTCGCATCGCTCACTCTCTCGTCTCTATCGCGCGCTCCATAATCGCCGCTCTCTCTTTGCCAACCTAAGAGGGGCGAGACGTTGTTTGAATGTAGCATACTTACGTATATTCTAGTATGTGGCATGGAAACGCAAGTCCTGGGCACCAGGAATCTCCACGAAGCCCTCGATCGCCTTGCGCAGTCCAACGCCGCGCTGGTTCCGGCGTCCTATGGTGCTCTTCTCAAAGAATGCGGCAATGCCAGGGAGCTGGCGCTGGGCAAGCTCGTCCACTCTCACATCGCCAAGCACGGATCATCCGACAGAGACACATTCCTGGGGAATTTCTTGGTTCACATGTATGGGCGGTGTGGAAGCATCGACGACGCGCGCAGGGTCTTTGATAGAATCCGGCTGCGCAACGTCTTCTCTAGCAACATCATGATCGCGGCATTTGCCGAGAATGGGGATCTTGCTAGCGCGAAGAACTTGTTCGATCGATCGACCGTGAAGAACACCGTGACATGGAACGCAATGATCAATGCGTACGTGGGCGCTGGCGCGATGGAAGAAGCTAAAGATCTGTTCAAGGCGATGCCAGTGAGAGACGTCGTTTCGTGGAGCGCGATGATCAAAGCAAATGCCGGGAGAGGGGATTTGGAGATGGCGATTCTTCTCTTCAAGCTCATGGATCTTGATGGAGTGCGGCCGAATCGCGTGACATTCATGTGTGTGCTCGAGGTGTGCGCTGATCTAGAGGCAATCACGCTGGGGATCACGATCCACGAGCTCATCCGGGAGGCAGGGCTGGAATCCGAGACGAAGATCGCGAACACGCTCATCCACATGTATGGGAGCTGCGGGAACATCCAGAAAGCCAGCGAGATCTTCGAATCGATGCCACACAAATCCACAGTCTCGTGGAATTCCATCGTCTCGGCCTATGCCTGGAGTGGAGATCTCGATCAAGCCAAGCGCCTGTTCGATCGGATGCCCCAGCGCGACGTGGTGTCGTGGAATTCGATGCTCGTGGCGTATTCCCAGAACGGGCATGGCGATCGAGCTCTGGAGCTGTTCTTGGCGATGGATCCCTCGCTGCAAAACGAGGTCACGTTCGTAATCGCGGCGGATGCCTGCGCGAGCCAGGCAGCGCTGGAAGAGGGCATCGCGATCCACTCGCGAGCATCGGCCCGGGGATTCGATGCCGACATCCGCGTCGCGAATGCGCTGCTCAATCTCTACGCGAAATGCGGCACGATCGATCGCGCGAAAGATCTCTTCGAGAGGATGATCGAGAGGGACGCTGTCTCGTGGACTGCGATGATCACAGCGTTTAGCCAGAGCGGGCAAGCATCAGAGGCACTGCTGATGATCCAGGCGATGGATCTCGAGGGTGTGAAGCTGGATGGATTCACCTACGTGACGGCGCTGGACGCGTGCGCGATCATCACTCCTCCGGCGGTGGGCGAGGGGCGATCGATCCACTCGAGGGCCGTGTTCTACGGCTATGGCGGCGACACCCTTGTGGCCAACGCGCTCGTCACGCTCCTGGGCAAATCCGGGAGCGTGGAGGGCGCCAAGACCGCCTTCGATCGAATTCGCTCCAAGGACGCCGTGTCGCTCAACAGCATGATCGCGATCTACGCCGCGAATGGATCCGGCGAGGCGGCGGTGGAGGCGCTGCGATCCATGGCGGCGGACGGCGTGAGCCCCGATTCCATCACATTCATGAGCGCGCTCTCGGCGTGTAGCCACTCGGGACTGCTGGATCTGGCCTGGGAGCTCTTCCCGTGCATCGCTGGGGACTATGGGATCGCTCCAGCGATGGATCACTACGTGAGCTTGCTGGATCTGCTGGCTAGAGCTGGGAGGATTGACGAGGCCGCGGATTTGATCGCCCATATGCCATTTGAGCCGCCGGTGCTGGCGTGGACGATACTGCTGGGCGCCTACAATGCGATGGGGCAGCAAGGATCCAATGCCGTGGAGCGATCGATGGAGCTAGAGCCCGAGAACTCGGCACACTATGTCCTTCTCTCCCATCTCAGGAGCCCTAAAAACAGGGGTAGGGTTTGATTTAAAGTTTGGTTTTTGGGGGGAAGGAAGGAGGGGAGCGGCCATGGATCCAAGGGGTGGACGCGAGAAAAAGCAGCGCCGGGCGGCGACCGAAGATCTTTGGCGAAAATCCGGGGTAAATGTAGTGGTTCTTTCGATTCATTGATTATTCGTTGCGTTTGCCAGGGCATTGCCAAATGGATGTGGAAGCTGCTTTCAAGGTATGCATTTCTCTCTCTCTCTCTCTCTCTCTCTCTCTCTAGCTGTGTGATCTCGCTAACTTTGGTTCCACCTTTTCGAAGTTTTCTTTGCCCGTTTGGAGATTTCTTCATCGATCTTAATCTTCAAGGTAAGAGAGCTCTGTAGAAAGTGCTAGATTTTTTATTTTTCATGGGTGGAGCTTCTTCTCCAGACCAGCGATGTTTCTGCTTCGAGATCAGTGATCGATGTGGAAGCTCCTCTCAAAGGTATGTATTTTCTTTTTTCTTTTCTCTCCTCTTTTTGCTGACTTTCGTTAAAGTGAGTGGAGCTTCTCCAGAGCAGCGATGCCTGGAGATTGTCTACTGAGAAGCGGCTACAATCACGTTCTTGAGTTGCCGAATGTTTTTCTCGTGGCAAGTACTTGTCCTCACAATCTCCTTGAGAGCTTCGGCTCTGCGTCTCATTGCTTTTCCTTCTTCGCCATTCATTACAGTATCTATGATCTTCTCCAAGTCTTCGCATTTGACATCATCGTCGGGACCATCAGCCAACTTCACCCCAGTCTTCCACTTCTCCGTCATTACATGAGCATTCGAGTTCTGCTCGTAGGCGCACGGCCAGCAAAGTGTTGGTACTCCACAGAGCAGGGCCTCTAGCACCGAGTTCCATCCACAGTGCGTTAAGAAGGCTCCAACTGCGGACTGGCGCAAGACAGGCACTTGTGGAGCCCATTCCACAACTAAACTGTGCTCTCCAACTTTTTCTTGCAGGCTTTCGAAGAAGTTTTCAGGTGCGTCGCTTGCAAAGTTTCGTCTGATCGCCCACAAGACTGGCTGGTGAGTGGCTTGCACAGCTTTAGCGATCTTCTCCACTTGATCAGCCGGGAGGGAGATGACGCTTCCGAAGGCGATGTAGAGAACCGAGCGGTGAGGTTGTTTGTCCAACCAGCTGATACTAGTGTCTTCTTCTGGAGAACTGATAGTTTCGTGCTCTTGCAGAAGCGCATGAGGTACGAGTGGTCCGACTGGCAGATAGTTGGGAAACTCTTTCCTGCGCGAAGTCACAAGTTCGTGATCCAGCTCCTCGATGGAGTTGACGAGAACACACGCAGCTCCCTTTGTTCGCTTGGCAGCAGCTCCCAGAAGAAGCACAACAGGACCGCCGCGCTGGAAGCTAAGAGGAAGCAATCTCCTCGGGAAAGGCTCGAGGCCGGGAATGAAGTCGATCAAAGTTTGGTGGTCAGGGTTGCCTGAAAGAGAGGAAAGGACGCGCAGAGGTATGAGTAAAACATCCTCCTTTCTTCTCAAAACCGAAACTTTAGTTCTTACCACTGGCAGGAATATAACCCCGGGACTCGAGCTCTGGGATATGGTAGAAGAGCACCTCATTGATCGCGTGACTGGTGTTTAAGGCGATCTGTGGGATTCCCAGGCTCGCGGCGACGTCCTGCGACCAGCCCAAGAAGCAATCAGAGATTAGGCACTTCACCGGTGGTCGGATGGCCTCTAGAACCGCTTTCACTTCCTCTTGGAGCTCCGCAGCTATGATCAGTGACACGTCCGTGGCTGGGCTCGGCACCAGATCGATGTGGAGGTCATCTTCTCGCAGGCTCGACTCCACCTTGGAGCACAGATTCCTGGGAAGAACAAAACTTACGTGAAATCCCAGCGGGACGAGGCGGCGGCAAAGCTCGAGCATGGGATTGATATGGCCGGATCCATCGCAGGGAAGCGCTGCTATGTGAAGACGCTGCTCGTCTGCCATCGCCAAAGCAAAGACTAAAGATCCGGGTCGCGCATGCTACTGTTGACTATTCACTATTTGACTGGTAAACACTGGTGTTTTATTTGGCGCCAAATTTATAAACACTTAGGGCTTTTTGGGTGAATTTAGGGCTCTTGCGAATGGCGATCCCGGCGTGGCGGATTTGCCTGGCGTCGGCGTCCCCGGAGGAGCAGCAGCACCAGCGGCGCCTCACCTCGCTGCTGCGCAACAAGCAGCGGATCCTGGAGGCGCGCCTGGCCGCCATGGACGAGCAGGAGCGGCAGCTCCAGTCGCGGCTGCAGGGACTCCAGAGATTGCCGCCGCCCCAGCACCGGTTGCTGCAGAAGATCGTCGCCAGCACAATGCAGGGCCGCACGGCGATCGTGGCCGAGGTCGCGCGGGCCTCTCCGGCGGAGAAGCCAGAGGGCGTTGCGCAAAGGAGCCAGGACTATGTTACATGGGGTATGGATTCTTTTCGTTCTCTCTTTTTCTTTGCGGCGTGATTCGAGTGTTTGCTTCCTTGTCCAGGAGCTGACGCCATCTCGGTTTGCACTGACGAAGAAGTATCGCCAGATGGAGTTTTGGATCTGGAAGCTGTTTCGAAAGGTAGCGATTCTTCTTTCTTTCTTTCTATGTTGTGTTCTCCTTGACGTTGGTTTCCTAAGTTTGTGCGAAGTAATTCCTCGGATGTGCAGCGGTGGAGGTCCCAGTTCTTCGCAAAGATTGGATCATTCATCCGATACAGGTAGCCAATCCATAATTGTGTATCGAGCACAAAGCTTTGTTTTGCATAGATAATCGATACTCGGGAATCCGGTGCTGCTGCTCTCACGGCCGTCTACTCAGTTCTTTCCAAAGGTACGTGTGTTTCCGCAAGCTCTAAAAAAAAAATCAAACTCTTCGATTTGCAGGAACGCCATCCATTCTGCGCTACATAGCTACAGCTGGACTTGACGCAGTTGTGGAGGTGAGCTCCTTTTTCTGAAACCAAGATTAAATCAGAAACTTTCAGGTCGTCAATCTCAAGGAACTTGAGGAACTCTCCACACTCGGCATCCCGCTCTTCGGTTTCAACATCTCAGTTGGAGTTGCGGTGCGTTGATTGACATAATTTTTGCTCTCCTGCCATCAGTATCAAGCTCTTTCCCTTCTCCTGCAGGTTCCAATACCAGGCTTTCGGCAGGACATCGCCAAGTCTCTGGTTCAAAAGCTCCCCTTCGGAGCCGCATCCATTGTGGTGAGTCTAAGCTCCTCTCCTCGCACTCCAACTCAGTTTTTTCTTCTCGTCTAGGGCGTTGCTTCGATGGAGGAGGCACGGCAGATGAAGGTGTCGGGGGCGGACGCCGTCTACCTGAAAAGAGAGGCTCTAAGTTCGCCGCAAGAGCTACTCGAAAGCTTGCGAGAAGGATTGAGTGGAGACGACTAGAAAAACAAATAAACACCAGTCATTTACAATCACGGTTCGTGCAGATTATTTACAGTATGTATAGTTTTTAGTGTCAGTAGAGTTTCATGAATGAATTCCTTGCGATTCTACTTCTTGGTAGCTGCCTGCGCAGCAGCAAGTCTCGCAATTGGCACTCTACATCAAACAAAAATTTGCATTAGAATTATCTTCTTTTCTTTCTCTCTTTCTTACCTGAAAGGCGAGCACGAAACGTAGTCTAGACCCGCTTCATGGAAGAACTCTACGGACATGGGCTCCCCACCGTGCTCTCCACAAACTCCTACCTGATGTTACACAGGCGGTCAGCCATGAATCACACAACTTAGCTCGTTTCACCTTCAAGCCATCCCTGGCTTTTCTGCCTCGCTCGGTCGCAATGCTGATAAGTTGGCCGACGCCTCTCTGGTCAAGAACCTGAGATCCGGAAGAACAAAAAAGTATAAGAAAAGCCTCGTGAAACGTCATGCGTGCACCTCGAATGGATCATGCTGTAGAATGCCTTGCGAGAGGTAGACGGGTAAGAACTTGCTCACGTCGTCTCGGCTATAGCCAAACGTCATTTGCGTCAGGTCGTTGGTGCCGAAAGAGAAAAACTCCGCGTGTGATGCAATCTAGCGTGTCACCGAATCAAGCAAACAAAACCACGGGAGATTCTGTTACCTCGTCTGCAACGAGTGCTGCCCGAGGGATTTCGATCATAGTTCCAATCTTGTATGGCAGGCTTTTGCCAACTTCCGAGAAGACTCTTTCCGCTACACCGTGGATTGCAGAAACTTGGTTTCCGAGTTCCTGTATACAGGATAATCGTGACAAAACATTAGCTTGCACAAAAACTCGACGAACCTGAGGAGTCCCCACAAGAGGAACCATTATTTCAGGGTGGACTTTAACGCCTTGATTGGACATTGCTATAGCCGCTTCGAAGATGGCACGAGCTTGCATTTCTGTAAGCTCCGGATACGAAACTCCCAGCCTGAGAACATCTAACGTAGAATCTCCACTAAAACTCTCATGTTTGAAATATACCTGCAGCCTCGGAAACCCAGCATCGGGTTCACCTCGGACAACTTTTCAACTCGAAGTAGAACATCTTCCTCGCGGACACCAGTTTCCGCAGCAAGCTCTTCCACAATCTCGTCAATGTCACCTTCGGGAAGGAACTCGTGTAATGGAGGATCAAGCAAACGTATGGTGACCGGAAGACCTACATTCTTGTTGGCAAGAAACACAGGTTAGTGACTAAAACTACCAAGCTGCGCACTTACCATCCATGACGCGAAAAATTCCTTCAAAGTCTGATCGTTGGTATGGTAGAAGCTTGTCCAGAGCTGCTTGCCTGTGTTCGAGCGTGGATGCCATGATCATCTGCCTCACAGCCTTGATCCTCTCATCTGAAGCAAAGAACTGAACGCGCATGGCTAGCTCGAGAAAAGAGCATAAGAGAGCTCACGTACCATGTGTTCTGTTCTGCACAATCCGATACCTTGAGCACCGTTGTTTCTAGCAGTGAGCGCATCCGCAGGAGTATCGGCATTGGCCATAACCTGAACGCATGTCCATGTTTAATTGTGCATCTTTACTTCTCATACCTTGAGCTTCCGATAATCATCAACCCAGCGCATGAGAGTCTCAAGGTCACCACTAAGTACCGGAGGCGACAAATCCTGCCTTCCCACAATAACCTCGCCCGTTGTCCCATTCAACGAAATCCAGTCACCTTCTTTCAGTACCGTGTTTCCCAGCGACATTGTCTGTAAAGTAAGTTTCAAAACCAGAACGCTTGGCACTCTTTACCTTCTGTGCGTCGTTCACTCGAAGCTCCGAGCATCCAGCAACACAGCACTTTCCCCAGCCTCGGGCAACAACAGCAGCATGAGACGTCATCCCTCCGCGTGCAGTAAGAATGCCGGCGGCAGCATTCATGCCTCCAACGTCTTCTGGACTCGTCTCGTTTCTTACCTGAAAAGGATTAAAGATCACTAAGACAGATAAATGACGCTGCGTGAAGAATACCAGAATACAGCTTTTCCCTTGAGCATGCCAGGCTTCTGCATCTTCGGCACTGAAAACGAGCTGCCCGACTGCGGCACCAGGTGAAGCAGGAAGACCAGAACCTATGACATAATCTTTGTATGCAGCAGGATTCTCGAACTGTAGAAGGAAAACGAAGGAATTGTGAAGGAGAGAAACAAATCTTTCTACCTGAGGATGAAGGAGCTGGTCCAGGTGTCTAGGCTCGACCATGTTCACAGCGGTTTTGGTGTCCACAAGCTTTTCGCCAACCATGTCGACAGCAATCTTTACCGCTCCAGCACCAGTTCGTTTCCCGGAGCGGCACTGCAGCATCCACAACCTGTTTGATTGAACAGTGAATTCGATGTCCTGAACATCACCAGGAGAATTATTAGAACATGGCATATATATATACTGCGTCCTAACCATCATATCCTTGTAGTGGTTTTCCAGTATTTCACAGTTCTTCACTAGCTCCGCATAAGCACCAGGCAAGCGTTCTTTCATGACATCAATATCCTCCGGCGTCCTGATCCCAGCCACCACGTCCTCTCCCTGCACCCATCATACTTTCAAAGTCATCATAGATACAACTATAGATTAAAAACCTGTGCGTTAATCAGGTACTCGCCATAGAGCTTCCTTTCCCCAGTGCTAGGATTGCGAGTAAACAGCACCCCGGTACCCGAGTCAAGTCCCATATTTCCAAAAACCATAGCTTGGACATTAACAGCCGTGCCTCGCAAACCACTGATTTGGTTGATACTGCGATACTTGATGGCACGAGGACTGTTCCACGACTCGAAGACAGCCACAATGGCAAGCTTAAGTTGCTCTTTTGGATCTGCTTAGACAAGAAGGCCTGTCAATAAAAGCATAAGAAGACAAATACATACCAGAAGGAAACTCTTTGCCAGTTGCTTTAGAGTAAACCGCCTTGTATTTCTCAACAAGCTCTTTAAGATCCTCCGTGGTGAGGTCCGTGTCAAGCGTTGTCCCTCTCGCAGCCTTCATCGTTTCCAGCTCATGCTCAAACAGTGAATGCGGAATATTCATCACCTGCAACTTAAAGTAAGGACCTTTCCAGAGACGGCATACATATGACTTACCACATCACCAAACATGTCGAGGAAGCGACGATAAGAATCATACGCAAATCTCTCGCCGCTTATCTGGCCTAGGCCGGCAGCAACCTCGTCGTTGAGCCCCAGATTTAACACCGTGTCCATCATTCCCGGCATTGACAACTGCATTTCATACAGTCAACACTAACACCACCCTGCAGAACCGAGAAAGAATAAAAGCTAGAAACACTAACCGCAGCACCTGACCGTACAGAAACCAGCAGTGGCGCAGTGGGATTTCCCAGCGAGGCATTCATTTCTCGCTCCACAACGCTGAGTGCAGCTAGAACTTCCTCCCACAGGCCAGAAGGGAATTTCTTTCCGTTGTCAAAGTAGTCGTGACAGGTTTCTGTGGTGATGGTAAGTCCCGGAGGTACAGACAGGCCTATGCTCGACATTTCTGCGAGGTTTGCACCTTTGCCACCAAGCTGAGAGGATAAGAACAGCGATCATACATTTCAAGATAAGGAGAAACTATTATTTTTTACCAGAGACTTCATGCTCTTGTCCCCTTGACTGAGCCCCTTTCCGAATGTATAAACACGCTGGGGCTGATGCTGCTGTAACTCAAGCTGTGTGAGCTGCTGCTGCCCCTGATCGCAAAACAAAAACAGTGATCACGTCCACAAAAACTTAATTTTGTACCTGAACTGCGAAAACTTGAGCTCTTCCAGCTGAAACTTTGTAGCTCGTCTTCGCTACCCTTGTCTGAAGCAAGGGACGCTGCTCGTTGCCATAAAAAGCCGCTGCAACAGCGGCCTTGTGCTGCTGCTGCATAATTGAAGCGAACATCATCTTACTGGCACAAGCCATTGCCCCGAGCACACCAGATAACTCTGGACGAAGGAAGAAACACAAGAAAGGGCCTCAATCCACTTTATGATTACGTTTCCAAAATTTCGCGAGCTTAAAACCCGAGCTTAGCGAATCAACGATAGCTCTACCTCTCTACAGTAGCTTGTTTTTACAAACTGCAACCACAAAAAATGAATTATGTCTAGATAGAGCAAAAGGCTCCGCTCGCTGCAAAAATTCTCCACTCACTCACATCAACTTCTGAAGGAGATCGACAGTTTGTCCTGCCGCATGTAAGACGAGCTTCTTTACCTGAAAATTTTGCGACTTAGAAAGAGCTGAGTCTAAAAACAGAATCAGTACCTCCAGCTTATCTTCTTTAGCCCGATGGTCCTTTGGAAGTCGCCGAAACTCCTCTGTTAGACGAATGCACTCATGCACATTTTCCGGAGACACAAAATCTAGTGCGACCTTGATGCATGACTGCCACAAAGGAAGAACTCGGCATCACACATCTCGTTTCAGTGGTGACATTTTACCTTCAAATTCCTCACTTGGTGGGGGCAGCCCGCAGGAATAAATACTGCTTCTCCAATGTGCTGTTCGAAAGTCCACGGCTCTACTTCTGAACAAGGGCTATACATAAGCTTAGCTAAAAAACAACGTAGCATAAAACTTACGATACTCCTCTTTCAACTGCAGTTTATGCTTCTCGTCCAAGAAAAAAATCTGATCATGTATGGGATGGTGCACCTGATGTAAAAAAAAAAGGAGTAAACAAGCGTAAGAATGGTTATACAGAATCTCAACGTTTACCTCTTTAACTGGCAAGTTTCCTATGTGTCTGAACTCTGTCGAATGTTTCATCAGATATGCTTCGAGTTTGGGAACGTCTTCTCGTCTATAAATATCCCATAAGGCACCTCCATAAGTACTGCTCTTGGCCTCACAGACCAAAATTTCATCCTTGTGACTAGTGTCGACTCCAGAAGAACAGCACTCGGAAGACGTGTTCTCACTCGGTGACGTTTGCATATTGCGCAGATCTTTGCGCATAACTTCTATCCGTTCCTTGCGTTTCTGTTGCCACTTTATTTCAGAGGTGTGCGTTAACACATTTACCTGCACGTTAAAAACTTTTATCAGCAAAATGAAGAACTACAATATGGAGCTGGCAGTTTACCGCGTCCGAAATGTCACAGTGCAATTTGGTGACAGAATCTCCATTGCCAAGCTCCTCACGAAACCCGTACGCGATGTAAGTTTTGGGCCCCAGGTCAGGCTTCAACGAGTTCTCAGGCAGCTTTGCCGCCAGGTTGAAAATACCAGTCGTGGGATGCGTATACGCCTTGAAAGGCAGAGAGTTCAGAAACTCAGTTCCATGGCGAGGGAGGCGCTCGCTGAACAAGGTCGCTGGTGGCCAATCCTTCAGCTTCAACATTTCTGGCCAACCGTCTGGATGAACACGGCCTTCTTGGTATCCTGTAAAAAACTGATGTATGTTTATCTCCACCTGAAGATGGAACGTTAGAGCTGCAACCAAACTCGACAAGAGTCTTACTTGGTTCCAATCCAGGCAATCGATGGCTTTGAGGCTCTTGTTCTCGACGGCAGTCTTACTCTTGTTTGTCTCTCGTACAGCCCTCCACATTACCATCGGCTCCCAACTCAGGCCTGTGGTACCCTCTAGAACATCCCGAACGACAACTGGTTCACCACGTACCCAGTGCTTCTGAAAGTGTTTCACTCCCTCGTCTTTCAAGTCGCTTGCGCTGGGGCAGTAAATGTGGTTGTCGCTGGATCCTTCACGCTTTGCAGCCAGGCGGACGTTGCCTGCGTTTTCCGAGCAGTCGCAAGTGTTAGCCATGACTTCAGGATCTGGACGGTAGTCTTCTAGACACTCCTCAATCGACTTTTGAAGGTCTGAGGTATGGTGGTGTGTGAAGAGCGTCTTCAAACACAGAGGATGCGAATCACAGTTTCGACAGGGAATGCTTCCGTCACTGTGTGCTTTCCAGGTGCTGCCACCTTCCTGTTCGAGAGCAGGATCCTCAGCCTTTCCCCTTAGCTCTCGACAGCAAGTGAGGCATAAGTCGAAGCCGCATCCGGGACAATTTCGATGCATGTCCACAATGGATGTCCGGCAGTTATCACTGCCAAGAGGAGGTCCGTCAGTCACAGAAAATTGCAAAACAGATCCAACCAATAGAGGCGCTCGTCAAAATCCACCGGAGCCTTTTCCACTCCCAAGTATGCCTCTCCTGTCATCTCGTACTGTTAGTCTGATGAAGACAGAACTGCAGAACTACTCGCCTTGGATGTTTTTCTCGAGCTCCTCTTCCTCTCGTTGTTCATTGCTGAGTTGTTTAAGATAGCGCGAGATCTTCCAAAGGAGATACTTAAAATGCTCCACCTGTTTGGATGGAGGCAGCTCCGCAGTCACCTACATCAGACAAGGGAAAGCATCGGACACTTGATCATCAAGCGAGAATGTTACTTACAACTTTCGGCCCGTGAGTGCGTAGGCAAGCTTTGCAATTACAGTTCCTCCGGCAGAAAGGACACTGCTTCTGGACGTCTTTCACTGTCAGCTCCGGGTACCTGGAAAAAGAAAACAAAAACTTCACACGCTAAGAAAAAAGAATCCGCAAGCTTCTTGCCATCGCTTGATACAGCTAACGCAGTAGCGCTTCTTGTTGCAGCCATCGCAGAAAACCACATCTCCTTTGTCATTTCTCTGGCACTGGTGGCAGCTCTTGTACTGCTCTAACTTCTCGCGAATGGCGACGAGTTTTTCCTGAGACCAGAAATGGTCGTGAGATTCTTCGCAAAACGAAAAGAACAGCAAAGAATACCTGACCCAGCTCTTCGGCCATGTCGGTTTCCTTTCGATCACAGCGGCGCAGCTTTTTTCTCTTCTCCTCCCGAGGAGGCTGCTGCTCCTTGCTGCTTCTCTTCGTTGCCACCTGATCCTTGTACCTCTGGGTCTTTTCTCGCATTTTATTGCGATGGTACTCGCAGTAGTTGTCATTCACCATGGCCAGTTGCGGACAGCGCCAGCCTTTCCCATCTGATCGGCTACACGGCCGTGGAAATTCCATCGATTTCCTCTTCCTGATCACACAAATCAGGGCCGCTTTTGCAGAAAAGGAAATGTGGTCTAGAGTACCTGGTTTGCCGATTTGGCTCTTCTTCCTCTCTTTCGTCTTCCTCTTCTTCCGTCCTTGTATCCGAGGATCCATCCTCCCCCTCCTCGTTGTCCGCGACCCTCCTCAGCTCTGGGCGCTTGCTCCTCATCTCGCCTTCACCCTAGCCTGCTAGAACAATCTCCATTTACATGCGCACATTAGGTTTTCGCGTCATTTACATGTTATTCTGGTATTTCCATATTATTATAGTAGCGGTTTAAAATTAGCATAAAGGATTTATCCATTTAATTTTTCACATTATTAATTTATCTAGACCTGAAATATAGCAAAGTTGAACTAAAGAGGGACTTCTTCAAGGAGGATTTTTTAGGGCGTGTTTTGCTTGGACTTATAGCATTACTGGGTGGTGCAAGTTTGTGCTGCCCAAAGTCCAAAACACAGTATAAGGTTTTGGAAGTATATGATATGGGCATAAAGGATCTTCAATGATGCCCAAAGTCCAAAACATGGTATAAGGTTGGAAGTATCTTAAATGATGCCCCAAAGGATTTTCAATGATGCCCAAAAGGATTTACAGATGGGATTTTAGTGGATAATGGAGTTATGGTGGATAACAACATGGGGAGACAAAACACTCTAAAAATCATTGTTAAACACTCTTAAACACAGAAACCCCACAAGTGTCTTGAGTTCAGCCACTATGTTCTGAGAGAGTTGGTATTGTTTTCTTAGCATGCAGGGAGTCCCCTTATATACAACATGCTCTAGTGCCTTGACACCCTCATTGCATGATTTCTTGTGGTTTTTTTGGCTGGTTGGGGAAATCTAGTGGCCCTAAGAGTTTTGTGAGCATTCAAGAGAGAACTTGACATAGTCTTTTTTCCAACTAGGTCTCTTGCTTGAGAGTCATGCTTGTACCTTTGGGGCAAGAGGTTTAGTGGAGCCCTAGCTAATGCTTTTACATCTTCTAGGTCGAGTTGTTAGACTGGTGACACATAAGCTAGCTATGACAAGTTTGATTGTACAACTTGCTTTGGTATTAGAGGAGTTGAGTTGTTGGTCCATCTGGAAGGACAAGTGCAACAAATGGATAATAGACTAGATAGTGGTTGTGAGTAGATAAAAGTGATGGTGATGAGGTCTGGATTGATCTAATATAGAGAAGAATTTGAAAACCATGGGAGAAAAGCCAGGAAATGTATGAACTCTTAGATGATTGAAGTTGATGCCACCTCAAAACTGAAATCTAAGCCCAAGCTTGCTACCATAATGATAGAAAGGCAAGTAGAAAAGAGTGAAAAAAAAGAACAGAAAACAACAAAGAAAATAAAGAAGAGAAATAAAAAGTCACTATAAGAGAAGTTGATAGTGATTTCAGAAGTTGCTTAATATTGTTGTGTTGTAGCATGCTCCAAGTGAACAAAGAGTGTTTGGAAGGAGGCTAGAGACACCAATGAAGTTTCTAAAGCTGCATGTCACATCAACTCATCAAGGTCCCACTACAACTTTGATCCCACTACAACTTTAAGCAAAAATATAGAATTATGCTTGATATCATGAGGTTGAGAGATCCTAGGACAAAGTGCCTCTAAAGTCTGGAATGTAGTCTAAGTCATTGTGAATTTGGTGGACAAGTTGAATAGTGTTGTCTGTGAAAAAAGGCCACAATCATGTTAGGTGATGCTTTGGCTGGGATCCTATGGTTCCAGTGAGCTGATGTCACCTCTAAGTACTGGAGAGGCTAGAGAAGAATGAACTATTGTAGAAATGAACTTGCCACCTTTGACAAGTAGCAACATTGGGAGTTTTATGTATGCATATGTTTCATCTGGCTGCTACAAGTGATTGCTAAGGACCCTGGAAAAGGCCTCCAAACAATCTAGAGAAGGCGTTGCAGCTGAAAATAAACTTTAAATCATTGTTGATATGTTTATATTCGTGCTCCTTGTGCCAGACCTATGCCATCCTCAACAAACAATCCACACTAAGAAATTCTATTAAATACTCAAGAAAACACTCCTGGACTGTGATTCTATGCATTTGCTCAGAACAAGGATCTTATAGCAGCTCTAGAATTGTTCTGGGCATGCATCCTGGATGTGGTTGAGTTCTCACTACTTACAACCATGTTAGGTGCATAGAGTGAGTATGGGTGAAAGTGCATATAATTATAGAGGCAAGGTAATATAGAGTTAGACCAAGCCATCTGAGCTATAATCCTTTTACTTCAATTCTAGTTGCCCCTCTTCTCAATCATTCTCCAATCTACTCATTGTAACTGTACATTCCAAACATTGCTAGAAGTCTTCTCCAAGTGCTTTGTTAAAATATCTATATAGTATGGATGCAATCCTAACTTACCTTTATATCCCAAATAAGTTGGAATTGCCTTGGAGAATATTAATAAACTTCTCACTATCAAATTTATGAAGCTTTTGATCAGATGCCACAACATTTGCTCATTCAAAGATTACTTGAAATTCAAGTGCCTTCCACTTGTTGCTATTGTGAACTCTATAGAACTATGCAGTTGTAACTCTTTGATAGGGCATCGATTCCTTCTAAGGTTGGAGTCTAGCAAGGTTATCCTTTATAACTAGCTCTTTGATATTTACATTGATGCACTAGAGTCCATAATTGAAGGAAGAACACTCATGCCATACCATTATTAGTAGCTTAGAGCACTCAAAATATTCTAATTCTCAATATATTCCTCTCTATATAAAAGCAATGTGAGAGTGAGCAAGGGCTAGAGGGCATTTAGGGCTTATGAAAGAGTTTGAATTTGTGATAGAGGTATTGAGAGCTTGAGACATAGAAGTTTGTGTAAAAAACCAAAGGGAACAATTTGAAAGATGATCTATAAGAGTTCAAATATAAAAGAAAATGGCCCATGAATAAGAGTGCACCCCTTTTCCAATAAATTAAGAGTCTTAAAATACTTGGGGTTAAGCGTTTTTGGGTTTGAATAGTACTGTTCTGGGTGACATCGTGGGAAGTCCAAACTCAAGAGCTTACATTTGGTATTAGAAGTGTCTAAAGTCTGACTCTATTAGTTGGCTTAGAGGAATCACACTACATATTGAGATTAACATCTAGCAGGTCTAGCATGGTGGATTGTAAGCGACCAAAGAGAACAAGGATAGTGTGGTGGATTGTAAGCGACCAAAAAGAACAATATTCTTGTGAACTTGCATGAAAGTATGGTGGATTGTAAAAAAAAAAAAAAAAATGAAAGACAATCCATAGGGGTTCAAATATAAAGGGAAATGGCTTATGAACAAGAGTGTAGCCTTTTTTCTAATCAATTAAAAGTTTTGGGATACTTAGGATTAAGTGTTGTTGGATTTAAATAATACTGGACTAGATGATTTCCCCGAAAGTCCAAACTTAGAGTTTACACATGGAAGATAATTCTCATCTCCCAAGAAATGATGAACTCAGTGTGATGGATTAATTTAGCTTTTTTTAGAAAATGAGAGAATTATTATTTAGAGTGCAAACTCATAGATTTGAAGTTCTTACCACTATTTTTCAACTTTCCTTTGTTTTGTTTAGTTTCAAAAAAATTTTAGATGACAAAAGTATTCATTTTGGTTTTGCTTTATTTCAGTGAAACAATTTTAACTCCTATTTCCAACAATTTAAAGAACCTATAATTAAGTGAAAAATCAAGCCACATATAAGCATTTTCCTCTTATATTTTCCCTTATTTTTACAATTTAGTTTTAGAAGTTTAAGTTTGAGAGTTTGGCATCAATTTGAAAAGTCATAAAATCTTTTACTTTATCTTGCTCTCCTTTTTTTTTCTTTTTTCACGACTATATTTTAGAACTCTAAGAGTGAGATTTTTTGAGTGTTCTCTGAATATTTCTTTTGTGGGTCTTTTCTTTTGTTCTTTAGCTTTCATAACAAATTTAAGAAGCTTGTTCTTTATTGTTTTATCATCATTTTCTTTTTTCTTGAGTGTGTTGGATAGATATCTTCTAGAGCTTTTTGCCATATGTTTGCATATGAAATTTAATGCCAATTTAAAGAGTTCAGAGGGATTTTCCACTTATGTTTATTTATTTTGAGTATAAGAAGTGGTTTTAGCTATTTTTATGCAATTTTGAGTAGTTTAGCCATATAGTTTGTATAACCAACTAAAGAGAATGACTTGAAAGATAATCCATAGGAGTTCAAATGTAAAAGGAAAAAGCTCATGAATAAGAGTGCACCCTCTTTTTCAAATGGTTAATGTTCTTGGGATATTTGGGGTTAAGCGTCATTAGGTTTGGGATGGGTGACTTCTTGGAAAGTCTAAATTCAAGAGTTTATGTTTGATATTAGAGAGGTCTTGGTCCAAATTTCCCATGAAGAGCTTATATTTGGTATCAGAGAGGTCTCACTCCGACTCTGTTGATTGGTTAGGGGAATCAGACCATATGTTAAGATTAACATTTAGTAGGTCTAATTTACTTTGGTTGGGCTCGATCTAAAGGGTAAGGAGAGCTACGGCTCTCAGCTTTCGTTCACAAAGGTATAAACAACTAAAAGAAATGACTAAAGAGACGATCTATAAGGGTTCAAACATAAAGGGAAAGGGCTCATAAATAAAAGTGCACTTTATTTTCTAAATAATTAAGATCTTGGGATATTTGGGGTTAAACATCCTTGGGTTTAAATAATACTAGAATGGGTGACCTTTTGGGAAGTCTAAATTCAAGCCCTTACAATTGGCATCAAAGACTTTTCAACTTACTTTTAATTATAATTTTTGGTGCTCTAAAGCTCAAGATACTTATGTTTTTTGCATCTATGAGCTTGTGAATACTAATGAGTGATAATTTTTAGGTTTCTTCTGAAGTTTTACAACTATATATTTTTGTTGTAAGATAGATTTAGAGGATTCCTTTAGTGCATGTGATCATGGGATGAGATTTGAATATACTATCATTGTGGATCTTTGGAACCTTAAGGGATAAATGGGGATAAAATAGCTATTAAGGGCTCTTTCATCAAGCAATTACCCCTTTTTCAATTGGCTTAAGAGGAGTTCCAAAAGCCAAGAAGTTTCACTCTTTAGGAGTATTTATTGTAATCTAGCATTTATAATGATTATAGAATTTTATGCCCATTCACACCAAATCAATGCACATTCGACGTCTACTTACTATCAACACTATCCTATGGTTGGGGG